ATGCCTTAGGCCTTTTTTTTTAATAGGTATTTTTTAAATCTATTTACTTTTTCTAAAGCTTATATTGCTATATATACGTACGTATCTAAATAAAAGCCGTCCTTATCCCGATTAACTTATTAATAATACTCCCCTATTACTTTATAAACGACGTTAATTAAGGGTATTACTATCTAATAAGCTTATTTATTAATCTTTTAACTTTTTAAATCGTATTACTTATTAAAAAAGTAATAATAGTATTATACTTAGCTAATAAATAATATAATCGTTTTTTAAACGTTGCCCTAAATATCCGATAGAATACTAGCTCCTTAATATAATAATAATTATCCTTTTTTAATTTAATATTATTTTTACCTCTTAGCTTTTTTATTATAGCTTAAAATACTATTTAAAATTGTGATATTCTCTTTAATATATCCGTATTTTTTATTCGTTTTTTAAAGGTTTTAAGTGTCTTAAATATCCGAGGAGTAGCTATTTTTATTAGTTTAGATAGTTTGCTTTTAGTAGATAATCGCTTATTAGTATTTTGTTTTTTGTTTTTTTTAATTATAATAACTTTAAACGTTTCCTCGGTCTTTATATCATTATTAATATTATTTATTTTAGCAGTTATATTATTTATAAATATATTTTTAAATTGCTATTGTTCGTAATTTGTAAATAGGATCGCGGTAGAGGTATTATTAATAAGCCGGTACGAGTTTCCGTTTAACTAAGGTTTTAAATTCTTTTATTAATAATTTTTAATAATCTGTCGTATTTAGTTTTCTGTTTTTAATATATTAAAAGCCTATTTAAATAATAATTAATATATATTTACAAATAACGTCTTAGCCATAATTTAAATTATTTAAAAGCACCGCTAGTTTTATAATATAAACTACGTATTTATTAGTTTTTTAAAAGCGGTCCGGGTTCTATTTAAATTTTAAAATTAATTAGCAAAAACGATCGCTATTTTATAATAACTTTAGTATCGTAGTTTTTACTAACGAAAAAGCTTATTAGTTTAATAATATAGCGGTTATTAATTAAGTTAAATTTAACGATATAATTTGTGATTTTTTTATTATAAAACCTTTCTAAAAGGCCGGCTCCTTTTTAAATATTATATTATTAAAATACATAGTTTTCCGTTTTAAAATTATATTTAAAAGATTATAGGATAATAAAGGAAAATAAAAAGAGAGGAAACGAAAATATAAAGCCTAATATAAACTTAAACTTATCGTTATAACTTATATATTTTAAAACATCTATACTATTTAAATACGTTATTATCTTAAGAAATTATTTATAATAATTACGCTCTTTTATTTAAAATAAAGGTAGTTATAAAAACCCTATTTAAGTTTTATAAAATTATATATCTATAATAAGTCTTTTTTTATAAAACTTAAATAGGCTATTCTTATCCTTAGCTATTTAAATATACCTTTTATATTAACTATACTTAATTATTATTTTATCTAGTATTTAATATCTATAAGCTAAAAAACAAAACGCTTATTTTTAAGAACTTTTTTAATTAAGTAAAATAAAGGGGTTAGTAAAAATATATTTAGTTTTAAATATTAGATTTATAACTTAAAAAGACATCGATTCCCCCCTTATTAAGGTATTTATTAGGGCTAATACGCATAGCTAAAGCCCCCCTATATTCTAATTAATAATAGCTTAGTATATTATAATAACATAAACGTTATAGATTATATATATAAAAGGGCGACCAAGACTAGAGATATAAAAAAACTCTTCTTAATATTTTAATAAAAAATATAAGTAAAAATAGTAAAATAGTTAAGTTATTTTTTATACCCTTTTTTACGATTTAAGGTTATATTTAGGATATAAAATAGGATAAGTAAGGGAGAGGGATAAGACGTTATAATTTTAATAGCTTAACTTTTTAGCCCGACCTTATAATTATAGTATCGGGGTATAAGATAAAAAATATAAAAAAATAAAAATTAAAAAGGTTATAAAATTAGGAAAGCTCTTAAATATAAAAATTAAAAATATATAATATACGGCTTTTAAAAATATCTTTATCTAAATCTCTATTATTTTAAAAAAAATCTTATATTAACCCTTTTATTAAACCCGTCCTTATTAGAATTAAATTAGTATCCTTAGCTACCTAAGCATAGAACCTATTGTTACTTATAATTAATTTAATAAACGATACCGTATACGGCTTAACCCGAACTAAGGAGCCGGGCCTTTTGTTAAATCGGGAGATTAGTGCCGATATAAGGGCTAGTTAAGGCGCTTTTATAAACCTTTTTAACTTTTTTAATATTAACTCCGCGGCCGATTAAAGTTTTAACCTTTCCCTTTTTAATAACGACGTCAATAAGGGGCCTTTTTAAAACGATCTTAATTCGGAATATTAAAACCTAAATAATATAATATCTATAATAGGCTACGAAGTTAATAATAACGATACGGATAGCGACGGCGGACTTTTTATTATTATATTTTTAATTATCGTTATAGATAATCTAAAAGATTAGTTATTATATATTAACCAGGAGTTTATTACTATATAAGTAAAGAATAAAACGATTAGCTTATAGTCCTGCTTTATATAAAGGATTATAATTATTGCCTACCTTAGCCTTATTTTTTATAATAGTTATTTTATATTACGAGCTAGGTTTTAGTTGATAAGGGCGAGACCTTATCTTACCCCGTTGAATATAAAACCTTATAAGCTAAACGGCGTTAATGGTTAGATAGAGAAGAATATTTAATAGAAAAAGGGTATAAAAGATATCGGTTTAAAATACGTAGGCTAGCTATTCGATTTATAAAAGTAATACCTTTACCGGAATATATTATTAAAAAAAACGTTTTTAAAAAGTATTATTTATAAAAAAACCCCGAACTTATTAAATCTAGACATGTTTTTAAAAGTCGATTACGAATTAGATATTTAAATTTACTATATAAAATTTAATATCGATAGCTTTTTAAACGTTATTTTAAATATTATAGCTTTTTATAATTTTGTTAATTATATATTAATCTGTTAGCCTACGAAAAAACTTTATAAAAATATTTATATTACTTATTTAATTAAGAGCTTGGTTATTAATAAATCCGAAAACGTACCTTTTTATTAAATCCTGTATATATATTTCGGATCTATTTAAAGTTAGACGATATATATTTTTTTCTTTAGTATTTATATTTATATAAAATCGCGTTTTAATAGTCGTAATGGTACTACTTAGCTTACGGATAAGGAGTACTATATATTTTATAATAAGATTATAATATTTAGTGTCGAGGAGGCCTTTTTTAAATTAATAATAGGCTATATTATACTCTCTTATTAAGATATTTATAATAAAGCTACCTTCTCCCGAAACCGGTCCGTATGTAAAAGCCTTCCCGTTTATAAATTTATTTTACCTTATACGTACCTCCGTAAATTAAGCAATAGTTTTAAATTTAAATTAACCGAATTATTATTTATTATAAATAATATAAAAAGCTAAGACCTTAATAACGACGTTATAACGGCCTTTTTATTTAAAAACTTTTTTTTTTTTTTTAATATTAAGAATACTAAGGTCCGATATAAAGGTATAGGTAATATAAAAACCTATTTTATAAATTTTTAAAGTAATCGAGAAGTCGCTGCTTCCCCCTCCGGTTTGGCGGCACCTCCCGTTCGGGCATGGCGCCCACGCCGCTTTGCACGTGCACCCCTGCCCGTGCCAATTGACGCCGCCCATAAATACGGTGCCGCGGCCGTCCTTCTACGACGGCCATTGTACCATCTACCTTTCCTCTCAATACTCCCACGAAAAAATCACTACTCGGCTTCCCTGTTTCTCCTGAGTCGTGCCCTTGCCTGAGGGCGGTGTGACCCTGTCTCTTACGTTGCTGCCTTGGTTCGATCGCGCCGTGATCTCGCCTCCAGCTCTCCCCATGTCGAGCCGCCTCATTCGACCCGGGCGCCCCCCTTTCCAGCTCCGTCTGCTCTAGGTCTGACTCCAAATCACATCGCGATATTATGAACTTGTACTGACTGGAAAGTAGGTGGGCTTAACGGTCGTGAACCGGGCATGAGGGCCGGGCTGAGTGTGTGACCATGAGAGGCAGAGTGAAGAGCACCGCCATGCGCTGCTGGAACCGGCTTCCTGTTTGGTGGCTGCGCGATGAGTTTCCGATTCTTGCATAACTTGGTGCATCGGACGTATCTCATCCAGTGGCCTAGGCTCGCTGACGGTCACAATCCGTCTCCCTGATCACCAGGCGGCAACTTGGTGACGCAAGGGGGTTGATCAGGCAACTTCGCCTTGAACTCGAAGCCTAGACTGATCTTCATCATTTCGTTCTTAGGCTCCTTAGTCACATTCGGACCGACTCTTGAGACGCGCGCCCTGAATGCCTGTTTTGGGACCAGCCTCTTGGTACGGATGAATCACGACGGTTGCGGCACGGCGGGCTTCATGCGTGTCTGCCTTGCGCTTCCGCCTAGCCAGCATCCCTCCTGACCAACGCATGATTCCTCGGACAAACGGAATGGTAGCCCAGACGGCGATGCAGCCTGTTTAGTCCTCGCGATGACATACCACGCCGCGGATGTTGTCTCTGAAACCTTGTCAGGCCAGTGGCTACTCCGGGAACTATTGAGAGATGCATACGGGACTTTGGGAGGCCGGTCTCGGGTTAAGTGGCATCCATAGGGGCGAAGATTCCTGGTGACTGCTGATTGGCAACAATACGACAACATCTATGAACAGCGGGGGACAAATGTGCCTGAACTGTTCAGACGCTGTATGCGCAGGTAATTAGGGTTCAGGGGGGAAATCTTGGCGCGCTCGCCGGTCCTCCTTTTCAGACATGGAAGCGTTGATCTATTAGACTCGTTGCTACAGATCGACTACTTAAATAAGTGCGTCTGCCTGGTAACCTTAGAAACTCCCATCTTCTCATATATCAAATCTTTAGACCCTCCCAACGTTCAACCGACAATGCCCATCAATCTTGACAACATTTCATTCTACTCGGCTCCAGCGCAAGCTGTGCGTCCATCGGCAGCCAGAAGCACAACAAGACAGACTCTTGGTCTTTCCCTTTCGACGATGGGAAGAACCGCGATTCCTCCTTCAGACGACATGATCACACCCGATCAGAACACGAGTCATAATGACAAGAACCTAATCGTGTCCTCCCAATCCCTTGGAGAGGCAAATGTTGAGGGCAAAGTCAATTCAAAAGATCGGACGTATCTACGGATTGAACGCTGCCCAGCGTCAGGCGATGTGGGCCACATCCCAGCCAAGAAGCCTGTGGCAGTGGACTTCAATACGCGCGAGAATTCGCCTGAGACGGCGGCTTGGTCTGCCAACTGTCTACCAGTCTCGTTGTCTTCGTTGCCATCCCGGGTATTCGCTGCGGCGATGTTCCCCTCGCACCCAGACCCAGGTTCCCAAGCTGCCAACAACACAGCCGACCCGGCTCTCCCTCACAAGTCGACTAAGAATGCATCGACTGTCAGCTCAGAGACCCCTGTCCCAGAAAGCACTCCGCCCTACACCGAGCAGCTGCCCCTAGTGAGTCAAGCAGCCGATGATGACTTTATGACCTGGCTGCAATATCAACAAGTCGTGCCATCCAGCAGCGCGGAAGTTGGAGAGGCCCCAAAATCCCCGAGAAGGCCTGCCGAAGAGTCTGGCACGATGCAAAGCCCAGCGTTGGCCGAAAGTGGACTGCCGTACTCTAGTTTGGCATCCCTAGGCCAAGACACGCCATGTCACGCCGAAAATTACACACGCCAACCCCTCTTCGGACAAGAGACTCCCAATCCGTGGCCAAACGCTGGTGGTGAAGAAAGCAGCCCCGGCTCAACCGACCGAAGCGAGCCGCTGATCACAGAAACGGCGTTTCATTCCAGCAACTGTTCACCTTCACCGGACGAAATGCACATGGATGCTGAGACGAAAGCATCAGATGCTCCTCCTGTACACTTATCTCGAGTCCATCGCCGAGGTCGCAAATCACGACTACCAGCAGGCGCTTATGCTGAAGTCGATTCGGACCCGGAATCTAGCGATGAGGATGGCGCTCATGGAACCAATGACGACTGCATCGGAGATCAAGCCAACCCTGACAGAATTCAGCAAGGGCTCCAGGGCTGTGAGGACAATTCTGACCAACGCGGTCAGCCAAAACCCAAACGCCGTAAAAGAAACTTCCAGGAGACTGTTGGCACCAGCAGGGCTCTAAGACCAAGGGACACGTCATCGCAGTTAGCATTAGAGCCAAGACGAAGGTCAGAGCGGGCTACAAATCGACCAAGGACAAGTGGAATTCTGACGCCGCCGGTCTCTCCTGCTTCTACCGATAACGAATTAGACCCTAGATCCTTCTTTGCGCGATATGATGAGTGGCCTCTCAAGAATGCAGTCCTAAAGCGCATCACAGATGGATTTATAACGACATTTCAACTGCAATGGGAGCAGCCGTCCACAGAACGACAACAATCGCATTGCTGTTCCTCAGTTGGGCGGCCTTCAGGTTCTTCGCTGAAGAGACGAAAGTCTGAGAGGCGATCTGCCAAGTCCAGATGCCCGTTTTCAGAACAGGAGAATAAACTCTTGGTTCAACTGAAAGGACAGGGCCTTTCATGGAGGGAGATCCACAGCGGTTTCTCGAGTTCCTTTCCGGGCCGGTCTCTCGGGGCGCTGCAAGTCCACTTCTCTACTAAGCTGAAGATGACGAGATAATTGGGCTTGGTGAGGTGCGAGAAGTGCATACAAAGAGTTCGATGGACAGAGAGAATGGTAATGGACTTGGAGATGTAAGGAGAGATCTATTGTAGGTCTTCAAATAATGTGTCAGATAGCGTTACACTTACCAATAATCATCCTAGAAAAGTTCGCGGTGTCAAGGAAAGAAGCTGGTTCTTTGGTCTGTCCTGTGAAAAACGCTGCCCTATATCATTAATGACCTATTTCTTTTCGACTGATGTGAGAATGACACAAAGCTGCTAACGCATTGTCGACAACTGGAACAATCCTCCCACTTACCATCTGCAAGATGCATTTCCTTCTAGAAGCAGATATCCTCCTGGCTTTCGACCTTACTTCCTTTCTGGGCCTTCTTCTTGGCCTTTTTAGACAATGTATAGCCCTAATTATCTTCTATCTTCACTGCTGGTTGAGGTTCGGGCTCGGGCCCTGTTGTCAGACTGCCCCAGCACATTCGCTACGGTAATTGTTTCACCTCGAGCGACCTGACTTATGCTTAACCAGAGGTATGAGTAAGGCTAGCAAGGGTATCCTTATACAAGGGGATCGTACACTCATTATGTAGATATGGGGTTTCTTTCCATAGCCATTTATTGGACATACTCATCAATACACACAAAATGACCCCTGCCTGTCTAACTGCTGCTCGATAGGATCAATGTGATCCAACACGACTTGGGGTCCAGGTGATCATTCCGGATCAGAATAATCCAAGAAGACCCAAGGGGACAAAGGACATGTTCATCATCAGGACTTATATATAGCATGGGCTTGAGCTGGGCTCAAGGACAGACTTCTATAGCTTCTTCAGTAATTAACTTCGTATCAGATCTCACGATCATTTTAAGTTATCTTCACTAAGAACCTTATTTAACAAGACTACGATTGATTACCGAAGCCTTCACACCTTACGACTTATAGACAATAACTTCCCTAAAGCTATTCTAACAACGACTACTGTTTTTAAATATCGCAGCCCCGACTTCTGTTAATACAAACCCTTACTACGACTAGCTGGCCGTAACACCGTTAAAATCTCGATAGCCTAACGAAATATAAAAATATTCCTTAAACCATCCTTTAACATTAATAATAGCTCCCGTTTATTAAAATATATATTAAAGTTATTGAAATAATATAGCGAAGCGCGCTGGTGACAAAACACGCATATCTTCACGTCTGCCGCTGAAGACCAGAGGTCGACATCACACAAGCAGTCAGCCGAAACACGTGAGGCTCTTTGTAAGTCTTTGTAAGAGGAAGCGTGATCGATTATAACAGGATGATGCAGAAGCCGAAGCTTGTGTGCACATCCTCTCCTTAATTTCTATGTGAATGCCAATTTAATTCTCATGCCGAACGAGATGCGCCAACCAGGGCGAGTTGCGACGGGATGCAAGCATCGTCGTCAACAGCTCCATCAAACCGCTCGTTTTCCTCACAAAACGCAGACGCAAACAACCACGCAAAGGATACAGTACCTTATGTCGACATGATCATGAGTTGCCCGGTTTGATGAACGAAACAAGTTGTGTCGAGGTAACGACTATCAAGTCAGCAGTGGCTAGAAAGTAGGGGGGGGTTCCAGTGAGGAGTTCCCTACGTGGTTCTTGGTTGGTGCCGTCTTGTGTGCTCTTGATCGGGGCGCTACGGCTCCAAACCCTTGTCGTGATAGACAGTGGCGGGTTCTGTGTGGACATAGCGATTATCAGGTACGTCTTATGCAAATCTGCCAAGAACTGTTCGTCTGGGCGATCGGTAGAGTTGAATGCTATGGTGCCCACATGTGGCGAATCACGGCAGAGGATGCTCATTTTCCATGCAGACTGACACCGACGGCGAAGTTCCTTGCTCTTCGATCTGGGCATGCTGGGCAGGTGTGGGAAGGATCTTGTAGACAAAGCCGGATGACAGCGTGCGTCAAGGCGTGGCAGACGTTCCATTTACATTGCGGGTAGCAATCATCGCCGCACTTACCCTGCGACATAATGACAGACAACCCAGCCGCTATTAGATCGACGGCCAAACTGAAGAACGGGAAAAATAGTAAATGCTGCGCAAGCAGCGCGTCACTACTGAAATATTCTCTAGCGAGAACGTCACGACGACGCTCTGATTGAAGTCAGCATGCTCATAGTTCTCTCCGAGACTCGCTTCGCAGATTGCCTGACACTCCATGCCGAGTTGTTCCGGATACACAATCATCATGCTCCAATGGCTGGCCGAATATCCAGGTCGCGTCTGTCTGTGTGTCTCTCAATAGGCGTTTTACTGTGCCAGAGAACGCGCTAGAGCAAAGAAGCTTCTTGCTGCATGGTTCATAGAAGCGCTGTTGCAAGCCAGAACCGACTTAGGGAAGAGTGCCGATCAAGGAAATGTCTCTGGGCGTCGAAGTTGGCCAACTGGGTAAGCCTGCGGCTCGGCCCAAATATGCTATCTCGACTTCAATACGCACCGAGCAACAAAAGCAGCCAACAGCCGCCACGGGCTCCCACGCCGCTTGGCTCCAGTTTTGCATTTCCGGGCGCACCACACAATCGTACGACGCGAGCGCAATCCAGCTGCGACCGACATCAGGTTCTGGCTCGCGACTGCCGGGTTTGCTTCTTCCTAGCTCTTTCAGATTCACCCGCCAAAAACAGCTCCGCCGACCTCAACGAGCTCGGACCGACTACCACGTGTGTGATCCCTGATCGCACCATTTTTGCCGTTCAGAGTGCAGACGCATTTCCAGACGCCTTCCAAAGCCATTTCCATGTTTTTCAAGCCACAAAAATTGGCGTCGACGGCCGGTTCCCACCAGCCTTGCGGTGGGAGAAGGAATGAACTGGCGTGCTGTGCGGTATAGCCTTCAACAACACCTCATTGCCTTCATTCCCTTTCAATGTCCCGATTACTGGATGCGACAATTCGGCTAGTACCTGATGCGTGGTGAATCTGGTGCGTACTGTAACTGCGCGAATGTCTCGATCCAAGTTCGGTACAACACTCGCAAGCCGCCACCTGACTGACGATACGCACCTTCTGTCGTCCACAGCAGGAGCTCTGTACTGTCGTTGCCGTTATAGGGTTGCACACATGGAGAGTAGCGTCGAAGAGGCCTTTTACCTACCCTGCGAGAACCTGTAGCAATGGCTATCACAATGAGAACGGTGTAATTTGGGACGGGAATTCAACGTTGGAGCTTCCAAAAGACAATCGTATTGAAGATGGCGAGCGCCGTCCTGTTGCTAACTATAGGAGCGATTCACAAGCTAAAATGAACTAACCAACTAATTGCCTAACTACCAGCGCGTGGCGGTCGCCGACCCTGGCACTCACGCGCTGTCACGTCTCTGCACTGGCTCTATCACTAGATGGATAGGTTTCCAGGCGGCACCACGAGGAGGTTGCAGAGTCCGAATTTCGCCGCCCACATCGCTCGAGGAACAGCATCTGGGCGGCATCGTTGAGAATGTGCATTCAACGGAAAACAAAGGAAAGTGCAGAATCCGTTGCCCGGCATCGTTGGAATATCATCAACGGAAAATAAAGGAAAGCGAAGAAACCGTTGCCCGGCGTCGTTAGAAATTCATCAACGGCACCGCTCTATGGCAGCGTCACTACCAGTGGCCGATCTGGGTTGGTTGGACTCTGGCTACCATCGCCTCCGGGCTGATGATCGTGTGGCATGTCGAGACGCCGGCGAAGATATGGGCGCCGACGCTCGTCCTTCTTGGTCTTGGCCATGGCTTTATCCTGAACGCGCAGAACATGGCATCGCATGCTCTCTGTGACGAAGGCGACGAAGCGATCGCCGCAGCGATGCATGCCTTTCTCCGACAGTTTGGCATGGCACTCGGGGTCGGCGTCGGCGGTTCCACATTCCAGAACGTCATGCTGCTCAAGTTGGGGGACGATGGCTTGGCACCCGCAGGCACGCACGGAGGTACCCATGTTATTTCTGCCATGTTGAGCGCTGCCGGCGACGTTGGGCCGCCATCCAAGATCGTGGATGCGTACATCTACGGCTTGCGAGGCGTCTACGGATTGTATGTCGGCGTATCCGGATTAGCCCTTTTGATGAGTTTCTTGATCAAGAGCCCATCAATGAACAGGAGCCTACGATCGGAGCACACGATGCACACTCAGGCGACGGGTCACGGTAGTATTCACGGCTCCAGGAGTTGAGCGTGCTTCGAGAGGGGTATTAAGCCAAAGACCTACGTTATTAGCACCCGATGGTCCAGATAGCATTAAAGTCGCGAGATGTTATTTATGACGAAACACTACTCGATTCCAAGACCGGCCGCCAACTGGTATTTTCCTCACAATTCGTACGCAAACTTGAAGGAAGACGCGTGCAGATCATCCACAATGAGCGCTTGTTTGGCGCCATCCTAGGTCATTGATACTGCAATTGGGAGCTCATCAACATCAGCCTCTCAGGCATTCTCCCCGTGACTGTCACATGGAAAATTTGCTGTGCAGAATCCGCTTGTGATAGAGTCTTAGCAAGGAGCATCCCTTATCAGCGTCTCTCCGACCTCCCACGAAGTTTACGCTCTTGGATAGACGACGGATGTAGTTGGCTGTCGAGGAAATGAGTCAGCGCGTCAGGTGCACTTGACCAATGGTATGGCAGAGTTCCAACTTCAACCCATGGCAATCGACTGATCGGGAGCTCACTGGACCAGCGGGGCGTTTAGTCCGTCAAACCTTGTGTTGCTCAGGTGGTCGTATTTGTCCCTAGATTAAGGTCACAATGATATACGTCACCCGACATGAGTTGATACTGCGAAAAGCACTACGATCAAAAGATTGACCGTAACATCATGGATGGACTAAGATATTAAGGGAATACAATGGCAATTGCTTGCTGTCACACCATGCCAGGTTGACGGGCGTATGAACAGCGTGGTGGTCAAGCGCAAACTTGAAGCTGAGAAGCGAATCGACGGCAATAGAAGTTGTGCTCTCTCGGATTCAACTCTGTTGATTGACCCACGTCATCGTATCGACTCACGTCTACCTACAGTCAGCTTCGCTGCAAGACGCTGACGTATCGCGGACGATAAAGAAGGTCTCGAAATTGAGTACACTTGCTGACGCGATGCGATCAGCAGCATGATGCGCCATGTTTCTCTGGATAGACTTTGCGAATGACTTGGTTTCGGGGTGAGTTGTGATCCGCTTTGCATTGTGACGGGCGGACAAGTGCATAAGGAATGATGAGGATTTGCGTGTACAAGAGTGAGAGGTAACACAAAGGGTGGATGGTGTGAGGGTGAAGGTCATGAGGTGTCTGAATGGTGTTCGGAACGCTGGCAATGGCAAAGACATGTCTGGCCGATGATGATGAGGGCTGACGTCATGACTCGGGTTGGGAGAGGCGCTTCAAGCTTTGGCTTGTTTCTCTTCCTAAAAGGGATTCTCAATTGTGATCATGTTGGTGTGGGGAAGTACAGGTAGCTGTCTAGGTATGCTACATCTTTTTTTTTTGGATTGGTTTTTTGTTTGCAATGCTCCTGTCATTGTCCGTCCATATCCGAAATATCGCGGATCCGGGGTTCGGCCTATGGCACTAGGTCGGGAGCGGGGTCGGGCAGCAGTCTCCACTTAATTCCCGGGAGTTCGCTAGCCATTCTGGAAGATTCCCCAATTCGGAATATTCTGTCAAAGCAAATACTCCTAGACATGTTGCTGCTAACAAAGCAGGTCACAAGAAACAACATGCAAAAGCTGGAAAATGTGCATACCACCGCTGTCAACTAGAGCCCATTGCGCGGCTGGTGTCGTAATATACCCGTCTCAAAACTATATACAGCCAAAGATATACATGTGTGTATGTGTGAAGAAGTAACTTTGGGTATCCAGATTCCCCTCATCCCTCGTTGAACTGATCGCGCTGCGACACACGCGCAAGGATGTCCAAGAAGCCCCTGCTCCAAACCCCGTCGTGCTGGGCGTTCCACCACCGCAGGTAATGATGTGTTTTTTGCAGCCAAAAAAGCACAAAGGCACTCTTCCGAGCACGTTTAGTTGAAGTTGCCGGATCCGTGACAGCGGGAAAGAGGGATGCCGCTCTGATGCTTGATACACATGGTGATGGCACCGCTGACCCAGCTGACGCCCTCGTAGGAGCCCTCCTCGTGGCTGTCAGCGGTCCAGGTACCGGTCTGTGCCAGGCTGCCGGGGCAGCCTTGGAAGGCGCGGCCGTAGCGGCGGGTGGTCCAGGGCGTGGAGATGACGGTGCCAGTGTAACCTTGGGCGACGTTGCCGCGGATGAGGTACCCCTGCACGGTGGTCCAAGTGCGAGTGTAGGAGATACCAATGGAGCTGTATAGCAAGCCCTTTATAAATGTGGGACTGAGGCCGGCCGAGACGGCGACAGAGTCGGCGACGGAGTAGGACTTTGAGATGGTGACATCCATGCCGCCCATGGGGCCAATGACGACGGGGGACATTTGGACGTCCCAGTCTACGAATCGCTGCGTTTTGTCGATGACGAAGGAGAAGGTGTGGGCGCAGTCGCGCTTCTGGGGGCCGTGGCCGTGGATCTCTGGGTCGTAGGGGAGCGCGCTCATGTTGGCGCCGGCCGCAATCCAGTCGTGGTCGTACTCGGGGGCCTCGGGAAGGATGCCCTCGGACTCAAGAAGCTTGTGCAACTGCTCAGCCTGGATGACCTCCTCTGCAATGTCCGTGTTAGTAAAAGCAAAATTGTTTGGTTTGCGTTGTACTCACCGCGGTCCTTGCCGATAAGGACAATCTCATCGCCGTTGATCTTGCGGTCGGGGGACCATTTGGTGACGTTGAGGTCGCGCTCGTCCAACAAGGGAGCTGCGCTGACGGCCGTGGCCATCAAAATGCTGAGAATGAGAATAGAAATCATGTTGAAACGGATGTGGTGTTGCATAGTCGTGGTGGCATGTTTGAAGACAAGGAGGAAGGGCAATGGGTTGATAGGGTTAAAACACTGGTAATTAAAAAGGACTTGGAAGTTTCTTGCGACTTTATACAACTATTTGAGATCATCTTAGCATCTCTGATTGATACACCATCGCAATGGAACATTGTCACGTTGTGTGATTGGTTCCCGTCGTGTTTCTGGCGGTGTTCGTCTGAAAAGGTGGGGTTCTTGGCTCGCGTCTTCCTTCTTTGGAAAGCACAAGCAACCCGGCGAGTCATGGTTGGTGGACCCAGGTAGATCGCACAACCCACCTCGTGTTGTTGAGGGTAGAGTCCCTCTGGTGAATGGGAACCCGCATCTCAACGTGCTCTCCACGCATGTGTATGCATTTCGCCGTTTGACTGGTAAAGATCAGCTCCGTTCATCGGAGCGAGACACTGAATGATGGGCTAATGCCCCGGACCGCGCTCCATACCTGTGTCGCCAGTCCTTATCAAGTACAGCAAGTCGGACAGTACACGATTGAGCTTCTCATCACGCGGGTGAGCTTTATGGCCTGTCATTAGCTTTTTTTGCGGGTAACTTGATGGTATCATGACTCCAATCTACACCGCTTGCGAGTTCACCAAAATCTTCTGATGCGAGCTCATCTGCCCTGAGTAATATCATTCCAATAACCAACAGTCAGTGTCCAATAGATTGGGCACGACTCGATGAGGCAAGACGCGATGATAAAGACCTCATGAGATGTGATCACCTTGCCAGTCATCGGGATTTAGCTTCCTTTTGCTCTTGTCTATGTGGCCGCCATACAAGTATTTCAACTTCCTATTTTCTGCCCATAATTGGCCTCTCATTCTTCACCTCTACCATCAATTTCTTTCATCTCTGAAGTCCAAGCTCCCAAAGCACGTCCCAACTCCTACGTCACGATGCTGTTCTCCTCCATTTTCTCATGCGGCATCCTTGCCGCTAGGTAGGCCTTTGCCCCGGATCCTTTGCCCCGGATCCTTGATTATTCGTTCCTCAACATACAGACAATCAACCTTGCAGTGTTACCGCTAGACTACACCACCAAGGCTTCTGCGTCAAGGACAGATCTGAAGCTCCCGTTGGCGGCAGTGGCTGGAGTGTCAGCTACACCTGGAGTAAGACCTATGAGATCATGCCCGACGCGACCAAATGCGCCTGCATTTTCTACAAGAACCGCAACACTGGCAATGAGAAGTGGGATCAGTGCCCAGACTGCACCTTTGTAATTCACAGACTGATCTTTCTCAATCTTGGTCTTCATCTGACCTGACGTTCTTAGGATGGTCTCTCCTGCAACTCTTCTGCCCAGCACATTGGAGGCGACGAGTTGGAATACTACTGCAGCGAGAAGTGTGGCGCTGAGGGATCTGAGGCCGATTAAAGTCGCCTGAATTCTTGGGAAGAACAACAGACGGAACTTTGAGATCCCACATTGTTTTCATGGATTGCACATGTTTTGACACCATGAGGTTGGGCTGGGATTCCTTCCAACTGTAGATATCTACGGTACTTACCGGCACGTAATTCTATTAACTATCATCAATCATCTCTATCGACTTCGACCATCCCCTTGTTGTAGAGTGGAAAGGAGAACCTTGCTAGATTTCGCCGCGTAGGCCATATCATTCGCTTCGCGAATTCCCAAATTATAACAAAACTATGCCGGGAGGTCCAAAAGGCAAACAGCCAAAAAAAAGTCCAAAAAGCCAAAAATGACGAAGTTAGGGTGGGTCCCGTTTTCCCAGACTCTAATTTTCAAGTCCGAGACCTTTTCGCCGAAGCCTTCCGTCACCGCATTCCGAGGTGTCTGCAATTGCCTGTTGTGTGTTGTCTCTAGTTCACCAGATTCATTCGCGACGTCGGCTTTGGAGTCTTGGCCCCCCGAGCCGCCTTGGGGAATACTACCTCTCATCGGAAACAGAACCCATAGCCGGGACCTCTTCGTAATCTCCTCCCTCGTGCAGGCAATACGACGTCACAGCGAGACTGGGGAGCTTCTGAGGAGCTACCTCAATGGTGCCAACTCTAATCTGTCAGGCTTTATCTGTCCCGTATAGTAATCCTCGAAAGTTTGAGTTGCCGTCGGCCGGTCTTCCAAAATCCTTGGCAAAAGCTTGAGCAGTTGACAACCTGTCTTCAGAAGGAATCTAATAGATGTCCAGTTCTCTGTTGAGATTTAATCACTCGATGTTGCTTTAAAAAGCTTTGCAGTGCCGTTAGAGCCGAATCAATACGGTGGCGCCTGAACCTCCCACTGGTGCTTTTTGTAGTACCAAGCCCGCGCACGCCGCATGGAAATTAAGCACTTCCTTTGCCATACCAAAGAACATAAACCAATAATTATACTCCTGCCAAATCTCCATGGCATACCGGTGCCGAGTTCAGTATTCCATTTCATTGAGAAAAGTTGGTATTGACGATAGGACCAATAGTACGAGTTCTGCGGCGGTCTTGATCTGAGTCGGGGAGACTAAGAAGGCTTATCGAAGTATGGCCTTGTTATGGAATGCTTGTTCACTACAAATTGCGTTGGAAATTATACTCTTCTTAGGAAACTCAGGCTTTCTCACTCCGCTTAGAGTTTTCCCTACCATAATACATCCTAACACCTTGGCACATGGGATCATGAGATTATACGAGCCGTTCTTAGAGTTACTACTAGGTTACTGCTCAAAACGAGACGTGCAAGGGTTGAGCCGATGGGGGGATCAGCAACTCCTCGCTTTCGGCGTTTTCCATGATTGACCAGGATAGGAAAAAACCTGATGTTCTTGTTATCATAGCCCACTCGCACCCGATGGGATACAAAACACGTGAGCAGAACTCTCATCGCGACCAACACCTGAGGCATGCCAGAGTTGAATAGTCGGTGTCGACTATGTTAGTCAACACTGTATCACCACTTTTTCACACGACTCTCTCTTTGTCTTTCTTGTATATCACTTTGACTTACCAACTCAATGAGTCACAAGAACGAGTGATGGTACCTCTACTGTTTCTATAAGCCTGAAGGCGGTGAGCCTCAGCCAAGTAGCCGCCGCCAACGAGGTCTCTCTGATTCTCAGCTCTCCTCTGGAGGAAATTCAACATTTAAGCTGCTGCGTCCTCGCCGAGGACCATTAAAATATCCGGAATGTCTGATACGTATTAGGTTTGCGGCAGCTGAAACAACTGCGTCCCCAAGGGCAGCAACGATAATAAATGGTGACGTTACTGCATTGGCCACCACCCGGAGGACCCGGCGTTCGTGAAGCTGACATGGCCTCTCTTCGATCCAGCTCCGGTCGGATAGAGAGACCGCGATGAGGCAACTAGTCTATGGAGCAGCGTGATCAATCCGATGTGGACAGATAAATGGGTCAGATCCCTTTCATAAAGTAAAGAAAGACTGATCTGCTACGCCGACAAGCACAAGTTGGCCTTGATCAATGTGGATCAGTGGGGAGTGGCACGAGTTACACATGAAACTCCCGAGGCACTGTTCACGCATATACCCGTAATTATGGTTTAGGCACCGTCAGGACTTTTGTGAGCGTCTTGAATGTCACCGCAAATAGCGTTGAGAACGGCGATGGTGTGCCAATCGTCTGGAGGGTTGTTGATTCAGTTTCACTACGGACTCGTACCGGCACCGTCGTCTCGGGGACACGGATGGCTGAAGTGTGCCAATCTAAGTATTTGCAAAGGGAGATGGCTTTGTCATAACAATTAACAATTGAGGAAGTTTGAAAAAGGACACCAAGGTTTTATTCGTAAAGTTACGCATTGCGGTATAAGACGCATTTTCCCTAAAACTTTTTCTTTATCTTGATAGCAAGTTCACATGCTTTTAAAACAAGTGCCAAAAAAAAAGTGAAAAATGCATTAAATACCTCTTACTGACACAAACAAATAGTCTTCACAGCATCAATTAATTCTTATTTCCTTCTTGATCGAGTTTAGGATAGTTATCTAGCAGCAATGGGAAACACTAATTAAATACAGCAGCCGAAACCATCATTTGCGGAAACGTCATCCTCACTATGCCCTCAACGTGTGAGTCACATTTTCGTATTAATACATCTAGTGAAAAAGTTTAATGATAATGACCATCTGTAAGCTATTGAGTGGCTCTTATTAACACCTCCCAGTACTAGCCTCATATTACGAGCAGGTCAGGGCAACCCAACTGTGGCACGAAGCAAAAGCTTATCCCCTGTTCTGCGCCATATAGTCACGCCGGCCAGCACCCGACTGATTGGACCACGACACCTCACACAGTTTGAGGAGGTGGAACACACGGTACTGCAAGTATATCCTTAGAAAAAGCTTAAAAATACGGCATATTCTTGAATACTCTTTTAAGAATTCCGAATTGCAGTATTTTATAAACGTTAAGGATTTCAACTTTTTTTTCAAGGAGCGGCGGACATACATTATTATAAAGGATAGAGCGAGGTAGTAGTTAGAAAAGCTATCTTCTATAGAAAGTTCAAAAATGCGAAAGTTAAAGTATGATTGAAGCATGACTGTTAAACTTTATCATATTAGTAGGCGTTTAATTGGAACGCAATGTTCTTTCTAGCCAGAAGATCAGAAGCCGTCTTTTCCTCAGTCAAGTACCCAGGGCACAAATTCAATTCCGTGCTCCGAACCCGTCTCGTCTTTCTCTCCGAGTCTCCACTGGCAGGAGCAATAAAATCGCCGGGTAATCGGGCTTAGTCGAAGACAACGCCGCATGATGATGAACGGGACTCGGTACATCACATGCTGTGCGTAGAGTGACATGACGTTGAAGACGGCTAATCCTTGCATCGAGAGAATAGAGCTCTTTACTGAAATCTGCCCGACTCATTCAACCGGAACGTCAGGTGAAGACGGTAGCCTATAATAAAGTTTAGATTAGCATAGACCATGCCGGCTTTGCCCGGCACGTCCCTCTTTACTACGGACGTTGAATACATCATCATCATCATCATCATCATCATGTGAGAATGGAGCGAATATGATTGTAGACAAATTGTCGCTCAACCGCGAATTGGGGTTTCTGAAATAATTTGACCACCGATCGGAAGGCACGAGGGCTCACAGTACGGATCATCACTGTGGTTGCAGGCCGAAACACAAACCCTTGCGAAGTATGTAAAATTGAGTCACAATTTACGTCGGCGGCTATGGGCAGAAATTCCAAAGCTTAAACGAAAGTAAAGATCCAGGCCGAGAGTGTCATGTCTGTTTATGGTTAGATTGACTCATTTATATTGATGACCATGGGGTGAAACAATTGACTGAATTTATTGAGAAAGCCTATTTGAAATTTTGCAATTTACGGGGCGTTTACATTCGTTAATAATTATGAGACGGCTTCAAGTTACTTTGAAGACCATAGTAGATGCGTGTAGACATATGGGATGCCTTCAGCATCACAGACGCAGAATAGATGAGCAACAAGCAAATTCGGATTCATAAGTTAATTCGCTTTGCTGAATGTATGCTCACGATATGAAAGGGACGGTTTCAAAAGGACGGTAGCTTAAGCTTTTCCCTCAAACAACTGCAGTTATATACGAATGTAACCTCCGGGTAAGGTTTATCGTAGGTAATAACTCTTGGGCTACATGACCGTTGATGTCTTTCTAAACTCGGAGTAAGCGGAAAGTCAGATACATGGTCTTAAGGGAGTCTGACTCAGTTCACCGACACAGTTCCCATCCTCAGCAGATTGACGCACCTGATGCAAAAAAACATGAAACTCAATATCCTACACTCTTACATCAATCTGCAGCAGACTAACTTCCAAATTTTCTTCGTAGAGCTGTCGGTGGCACCTCGTGTTTTTTAAGCGAGGACACATAATCGCAGCCAGTGTGTCACGCGTTCTATTAAGCTGTGGCCTTGCGAAGCGGTCTAGGGTCTAGAGCGCCTTTTGGAAAAGCAAGTTCGTACATCACCCACCCACAGCCCGCATATTCACTTTGCATCCTGAAAGTTTTCATTAGACCAGCTTTGGCCGCAATGAACACGCTGAAAGCAGGGTGGTTTTCCCACCGGGTTTAATGTTTCTAGTCTTCCAGAACCTGTTTAAATTCATTTATTTGCACACGATTTGGCGTCGTCGTTGGTAGTGGTATGGCAAAGGCAGAGAGCATTTCAGGCGGTCCTTCCGAAAGGTTTGTAAGTGGCGCTGCGGATTAACAGCCGGAGCGCGTCGGCTGTTGGCCAAACCCTGCCGTCGGCGCATGGCTGCTGACAAACGCGGCTGAGACCGAGTAGGATAAAAACAACCAGAGGAGGGGAGAAATGAATGGTACTAGAAAGTTACGCTGCGACCAAAAGCGACATCTGCCTAATATATTAAGGTTAATAATCAATGGGCCCCAGTCGCTGTGCGATGGATAATGGAGCAGACTAGAAAAGTATTTCAATTGAGAAGGAATGCGCAATAAACTACTCTTGCTGACCCACAACAGTGCTGTGCCTATTCGCTCTGAATGCATGTCCGGCCTAGACCTGCACTTTCAAGGGAAACTACATAAGCCCAGCCTTTACCAATCTTTTACCATTAGTACGTTCTCCATGCACAACTCGTTATAATTGCATGACTCTTACTTCAGTACGAAATCTTCAGAAATGAAGTTCGCCGTCCTTCTCTCTGTCATGACCGTCGTCTCCGCCTGGTCGGTTACATTCCACGACCACGACCAGTGCGTCGGCGGCAGGACGTTCCACTACGGTGGCAATGGTCACACCGGATCCGACCATGTGGGCCAGTGCTTCACCATGACCAGCATCGACAATAGTTTCGCCAACTATGACGCAAAGAGCGTGAACATCGTATTTGGCGGCTGCTCCTTTGACTTCTACACAGACTACTACCTAGATGCTGGTCCATGTGTGGCAAGCAACAACAACAATTGGCAAAGAGTCGATGATGACGGGGACGGGTGTATCCAGTGAGTATTCCTGCGCGATTCTGTGTGGAGGCTTACGTCGATTGGTGATTGACACTGCATAGATTATCGAGCCTTAAGACTGGAAAGTGGCAACAATGGTCTGTGTACTGTGGTGGTTAGGCTCTGGAGAAGGTCGAGGGAACGAGAAAATGAACACTTAACCTGTAGACAATTGGATACAGCTGTAGACCACACAAGATATCGAGATTGAGTAGAGTTCTATCAGCTACCTCGGTAGTGTAAATTCTAGACCTTTGGTGTCTTGGATGCGCTGAACTTATAAGATAGCAACCTTACAGCAAGCTATTGCGTAGTTGAATGACATTAGAAGCCATGGAGCTTCCACTCACATGTAATTGTACACGTGAGGTAAGGCTTGGGATTTTGTGAGGTATGGCACCTACCTGAGATGTAATGAGGTACACAAAACTTGAGCCAACAGGGCTCAGTTGGGAACATTATAGCACTGAAGCCTTAAAACGTACCAGTATAGCCCTTATAGGCTTGGGCGAGTCAGGAGGATATAAGGTTAGCTATTGTTGCCTCTTCGCTAACGTTAATTGGTCGTAAACCAAGTAGTCTAAGTCCTTTGCTTCTCCACAGGAGCATGTCATCAGAGCGTCGTCATGATTGAGACGTTGGTGATACGGCTTAAAGTCTCCGTGACCCGACCGCGCCGCCAGCAGATGATGTAGTGCGGTACGCGGTCAGGCCAGTCCGGGAGGGCTGGACAGAGCTGCTCCAAGCTTCAAGCCCGCGTAATGCGGTCTCGCTTCTTTACCCCACCATCGTCTGTGGTGGCCTCGCAGCTCTTCCCTTGCGAGCCGCCTAATGCCCGCCAGTGTTGCTACTTGACTCATCCGGGCCGGTAGTTTCGTGCCTTCTTTCGCCAACCGGTCCACCGCCTCGTTCCCTTCGATGCCCTGGTGTCCCGGGTCCCCGTGCGTCCGTATGTCGACGATCTTGGCCGCCGCTTGAATTTCAAGAAACGCCTCTTGCGAAGAGTCCGGCATATTGTTGCGAATGCCTTAGATGACGCTGGTGTTGTCAATACATGAGTGGATTGGCTGGCCTTGGTGAGTGAGCAGAGCTCGACGTAGACCGGCCCTCGTTCCTTCCACCTCACAGTCGAACACTTCTGCCAACCCGAGTCGGCCACAGCCCTGTGCTACGCGTTTGGAGCTTCGATAGATGACGAAGCCGTATCCCACAGCTCCGTTCGTCGTCCTGGAGCCGTCCGAGAAGATGTTCATGTGGCTTTGGGGTACTGTTTTGATCCAGGCCTCCAATGGTTTTGCTGCTTCTTGCTTTGGTTGTGTCACTATCTGATCCTATGATCCTGGGAGATACTGCAATGGTAGACATAGAGGCCTCGCGTAGCTCGGTAAAAGCTCCGCCGTTCTTTGTAGTCTCGTCTGTTGCGGTCCCTGTTGCAAGAGTCTTGGGATTATAGGATGTTGGTGGTCGATCTTCTGAAGGCGGACTGCAGTACGTAGGCGGACGCCCTCAAGAGCCACCTTGACAGACGGTAAGCCGGCGTCTCGAAGCAGGCTGGTGGTTTGCGTTGTTTTCTAGACGGGTAAAACGGCCCTTGCTGCCGCTGTAATGGCTTTCTCTTATCGAACCAGACACCCAGCCAGCGTACCGGCTTCGTCGAGGCTTTGACTACCGAGTCCCCCGCCCTGACATCTGGCAGCTCCGCCGCCTGATCATGTTTCCTGGTGAATTGGATGGCTTTGCATTTGCTTGGGTTGAAAGCGACCTTATTCTCCAAGCCCCATCTGAGAATATCGGCTGCACTCCCGCTGAGTACCGCCACGTCGCTCTTGAGGGACGGACTGATCGCCAGAATGGTAATTTCATCTGCATACCCGAATCGTGCGTCCAGATCATCTTTGAGTACATTTACGATATAGAGCAGAAATATGATCGGAGATAGTGGCGAGCCCTAAGGTAGCCCGCATATCAGGGGCGGAAACACCGTTATAGCGTCGTCTAGTCTAACTCTGGCCGTTCGGTCGTAGCAGAAAATGAAGACCAGTCTAATCAAGCCATATGGCCAGCCCTGCTGCCGTAGTCTAACGACGAGCCAATTCCAGAGGACGGAGTCGAAGGCCCCTTTACGTCCATAGTCAGGAGTGTGGCCGTGAGCCCCTTAAGGAGAGCCATCTCGATGTCGTGCGTGAGGCAGGTCGTCAGATCCACCGCCGACCTACCCGGGAGAGCCCCGATCTGCTATGGGCTGAC